ATATTATCATAAACGGCACTAACTTCTGTACATACTGTACAAATATTAAGTAGCTAGTATCATTTATAACAGATTTATAAGCAAATATGTGCGCGCGAAATTTATAATCGCTCTACTGAAAAGTCGACAATTTGCAAATAGAACATTATTCTACTAATGGGACGAACTGTCGATGGCTAACGTAATAGTATCGAGCGCGCTCAGCGCTCTGATTGGCCGTCTCAAGTGAACCAACCACCGTTATTCGTGCTTGACACCCTGTACCAGTGATCTGTGATGCTTTGTCGATGTTAAAATGAGAATTTCAGGTTTTTTGTATGTGATTGCGGAACATAAAATTCTTGTTGATTACCTTATCAAATTAAAGCCAATAAAATCTACATACGAGCCTCATATAGCCTACCTAAGTACACGTGTAGTCTTTGTTACGATCATCAGCCATACTTCAACAAAGGTTTATTTAATAAACAATTCCAAATTCAAACTCGTCGGGAGTTGGTTTTCTGTTTCCTCTTTCCTCACTCCCTCTCTGAGATTTGTTTAGTTTTATTTCCTCTCACTGGGGATACAAGCTGCGACACGTTTTACAGGAATCCGGGATTTGTACTGAAAATCTCTGTGGACAGATGACTTTATATTTCATTATTACCCAGCTGCTTTAGCCAAGTTGACTGTTTGTTATCGTTAGCATTATAGGTATGACAAAAATGTAGGTATATAGATAAATAGATAGAGAATTAATATAGTGATTAGGGGGCAGTCCCTTAACCCCAGACGGCGCCTAACGTCGGACACTTATATTATCTCGATAGCTAATAACGCGAGCGATTCAATTTTTAGTGGGAAGTCTCCCAGTGGCAGACAACTAAGATTTATAGTAAAAATTGAATCGCTCCTGTTATCAGTTGTCGAGATAATCCAACGGTCCGACGTTACGGGACTTTCTCCTACTGTTTTGGTCGACTAAAGGGTCTTGAGTTAAGTAAAACATTGATGGATTACTTTTTGAAAATTCTGAATTAATATCTAGTGCATGTTCATATTGTCATCGATGTAGTTGTTACAGCTTTTTATTATTATTTTTCTTTCCTTATTGCTTATACTGACATTGAGTGGAAAAAATGTGAGTGGCTGAAGGTTGTAATTTACTAACTACTGTCGGCAGGCCACGATTTTTTTTTTATAAATACTTAGCAAATATATGCGAAAACTTGTAATTGGCCATACTTTAATCATAGTTGTATATAATTGTCAATTCTAGCTGTAAGTTTTCTAAATGTAAAAACAAAATAAAATAAAATAAAATGTGAAAAGACTAGCCCAGCGCTGCTCATTTCATTAGACTTATCACTGGCGAATAAAGATGTTCCATTTATATTTATGATTAGCCATTTGTGAAATAAAACCAACCAAAAACAAGTTTATTAAAAGCTCTGTGTTATAGAAAGACCCCTACAATACCGTATTGCAGATATCTAGAGGTACATAGTAGCTACGTACGTACAGTCTATCATTTATTCATCATTTACCGTCAGGTGTGTGGCCCGTTAGTTTAACACCCAACAAATAAATTAACACAAAAAATAAACTGTGTTCCCGATATTCAGCTAAGTAAAAAACAAATACTGTAAAATTGAAAAACCGTATTCAATTAGATTTATTATTTATATTGTAATCAAAGTGTCGTGTTTTGCTTCTGAATATTTTAGTATAGTAGTTACGTACTATGCAGATTGGTATTTTTTTTAGTTTTTTCAGTGTGTCGATTTTACTGAGTCGTTTTTTGGGGATTGCAAACGGCTAGTACGAGCGGGAATCGAACCATTCGACTGAATAAAGTAAATCTGGATTTATTAGAATGGACATAGTGCATAGGAGTATAGCCTATATTACACATGCCAAAAAACATATCAATTTAAAGGCAAATATTACAACTTCGGGACATAAACAATAATAAAATGTAACATAACATCAGGCCTTCTATCCCCGAAGGAGTAGGCAGGCAGAGGTGTAAATTACGACACTTAATGCCACTGTACAATGTAACACCCACTTTTCATTAGTTATGTTATAAGTCCCATGTAATATTGGTGAGCCTATTGCCATATACCGGGCACGATTCTAGACTCCGTGCTACTACTGAGATTTTTATTAAAAAGCCCAGTATATATATATATATAAATAATACTTTGCCCAACCCAGGAATCGAACCCGAGATAAAAGTATAATTATTCGTTGTTTTGGTATAATTTGTAACTCATAGGACGTTTGACAAGAAGTGACAAAACGTTGTAAAAATTATAAATGAAAATCATAATGTAATACTACCTATGCCATTTAATTTAATACTGTACTTGGTTAAGCGACGACATTACGAGCAAGAGAAGTATGGAAACTAGCATTCTCATCAGATAGTTCAAAGTTAAGTCTTAAAACACCTTTCGTCGTATAAATCGTATGTATACTCGTACAGCTGTCAGAGTCTCTCGGTTCAAATCTAGTTGAGACTTGCATAACTTCACTTAATATTAATTTTTCATTGTCTTCGTCTCTTTATTTTATTTTCAATTTTGTACTTTCTTCAGATTTATATGTATAATGGATTATGTTGGACTGCATATGATGCCTTTGATTGTTTATTTGAATTGATTATTAACTGTTTTGGTGACGTCAGAGTAGAATGCTTTTAGTTTTAATCTTACCGGGGGTCTGCAAAGGATTGGGTATTTTTTTTTAATTATTTTAATGTAGTTACTAATATTATACTGACTGCTTTATTGGCCGAGTGGTCGCCAGTGCGACTGTCGGACAAGGGGTCTCAGGTTCGATACCCGGGTCGGGCCTTTGCCCGATATTACTGGGTTTTTTTAAATCCCGGTAGTAGAACGGAGTCTGCAATAGTGCCCGGTATATGGCAATTGGCTCACCCCCTATTACATGGGACTCATAACATAAAATAGTGAAAATTGAGTGTTACATGGTACAGTGGCTTTAAGTGCCATAATGTGCACCTCTGCCTACCCCTTCGGGGAAGAAACGCGTGATGTTATGTTGTGTTGTTGAATAAGTTTTATAACGCCACCATTGTTCAAAAGCGGTGGCAGTAGAAAGTGTTATAAAAACAAAAGAGGTTGCGATGCTCGTTGCCGGAAGGTTGGCGGTTCTTGTCCCGGGTTTTAATTCATTCCGTGGCAAGGAAAACAGTGTGGAATATTAAACAGATACTCTATTCATCTGGGCTGTGCGACCCAGATCCCGAACTCTCTATAACAAGCCAGTAAATGTGGTATGTTACTTGGCAAAGTGGGGAAGTAGCTGGGCTTCGATGCTTCGTTGTTTTGTATTGATGATGGGAAGTATTTTTATCAATATTGGATTGATGTGATGAGAAAGAGTATTTGAGAAATTTGTTTGTTTTTGATAGTGAACCTTTTTTTAGTCTAGTCTAGTGGTTGCTTGTGAAATTGCCACAGTGTTAATTTTGTGCACAAATTGGGTATTTTGAAGTTTATTTGGCGACAGTAAGAGCAAACCAAAGATTATGCAACATTTTAATCAAATGATCTCATGAGTACACTATCACATTCACAACATTGTTTCTTGACAAAAAGTATATGGTCACAGCATGTAATTGAAATTAAAGCTGACCACGTTCCGTCATTTGATGAATGCATGCATTCGTTAAAAACGATAGTCCAGTTTAACATTGGCGTTTCGTAGACAATTCTCGTTGTAACACTAAGCCAGATTC